CTTCATCGGTGAACTATTTGCTTTCCAAGAAGCATGAAACAGACGGCGTTCCTGGGTGAATTATCTCGGTTGGAACTGAAGCCGAAAGACCCTGTCTTTCGGCCATGACCATTTACAAGCCAACTCAAGTCTAGACACATCTCAGCCACCGTCTACCACATTCACGCAACCAAGCCGGGAACCGTTTCTCGAAACGCGAAATAGCTTTCGGCTAAATCGCGAACAATGATATGAGACTGACTGTCTTCTATTGAACGAGGCGCCATCGGGTTGGTTTGCTAGCGTGTATTGAATGGACGTGCCCATGCCATCAATTATGCCTTAACCAAAAGGTCGCAAGCTATAACGCGTAGTGGCGTCTGTTTGTATTCGAATACAAACAATATGTCACTTTCCCTGGGTAACGGTTATTAGTGACGACGGGGATATATCACCGTCCCAGCTGCTCGGAGCGGGCATAAATAAGATGACCACCTACCGAGATGAGTCTAGGGACCCCATGAATCTTAGAAACATGCATAGATAGCATGTGCAGTTAATTAACTAGCCTCACATGCTATATGCTATTTACGCATGTCTCTGGACAGGAATGTGAAAGTCAATATCACGAATTCGTTCTATCTACACGCAATAGTGACGAGTTCTTGTCCAAGCCTCACGATCCTGCAATTAACTCGACGCTCCCTCTAAGCCAACAACTCGTCGTCAGCATCATCTCCCAGTAAGCCTCTTTCGGCTCAGCATTTGTCACTGAACGCCTTGTGCTTGTCAGTCCGTCCTTTCAAGGGACCCATCCAACTCATGGCAGGGTCTCCACCAAAAAGCGGGGGAAAGACAAGGCTAACTTGTTCTTCACCAAGTTTCCAGAATGACAGAGACACATGCTAGTTGCATACCTGTTGGACTAATTATTTCACATCTCTGCTCTGCTCATGGGCGGTCTAACCTGGACAATGATGTTTGCTTTTCAACTTTTGCTCCTTCTTACGGCGTAGCACTCAACTACGGAGAAATTGTAATTGCTTAGACACTGTGTTCTGTGCCACTGCGTGAGTGGCTGCTTATCACATGCACTAAGGTGCAGAAAATGGAGTTTGTAAACACAGTTGAGTTTTTTCCTTTTCGTCTGACGGCATTTGGTGCGTCTGTGAGGTCACTTTTCCCCTGACTACGTATTAACGAGAATAGAGTGGATAGCCTTCAAAGAATCACCGAGCATAACAATTAAAGGCATCAAAAACTATTACCGACAGCGAAATGACCACGGGGACCGGAGCGAGTCGAAACGAGTTGACGGTTACATAATCCCTGCATGTCATCTCGATTCTCTGTAGATCACCAGAATTCGAAGTCAACCAGAAGCTTTTCACCGGAATAACAACAACAAGGATGTCGAATCCTGCCCTGCCTGGGCGATCGTCCCTTTCCACTCCGCATAAAATCGAAATTCAATCGCTGGGACAGTAGTAACAAGGCATTGGCATCGTAAATCGAGATTTGTGATCTATTCACGGTTTTTGATATTGCGATGCGTCAGAGACGCTATGCAACACAACACGGCCCTAGAGAACTTGTCCTCGGAGCAGCTAACTAAAGTTTACTGGGGTCATGGATGCGAGCCAATGTGTAGGTAATTACTAATGGTAAACATGTTTCTTTTTTGTGCCTTGGAAGTTCGCCAGTGCACGTCTCTCCTGTTCATCGACGTAATTAATGCAGCTGAGCGGAAATACTTTTTATTAATTTCCAAATGTTTGGTTCAATGGCTAAATTGTGCATGGGAGTGAAAAAAAAAAGAATGAAAAAAAAAAAAAAAAGACCTAAGAACAGGGTTGCAGCCATGTCCCTGCAGGTACAACAGCCACAGTAAGATCCAGGAACGAAATGCATCTAATTGGCTATTTCTCTTGTCTCCTCCACTACCAATATGTCTCTTGACGCCATTAACTGGTGGTTTGACTTTTGCAGTGCTTGGAGGCCTTGAAGCGCGCACCGTCTGTCTGTTCAGCAAGGTCTTTTAGCCAGACTAGCAGAGGGGGGACATGATTACCCGATGTGGGCAGATACACCAGTCGGGCACCCAGCGAACAGGCCGCGGCGCCGCTTGTATTGTTTAGGGAAACGGCGGAGGGACGTTAACGTTGACGGGAGGAACCCGTAGAGACGGTGCAGCGCCTTTTTGAACTATGGGCCCCCCCCCTTTGTCGGAGCATGAGCATGGGCTCCTCATTAGCGAGAACGGACTGACACTCTCAACACTCTACGCGATCAAGTCGAATGGGTAATATCAGGGTCGTCTGAGGAATTTTTCTTTTTCTTTCTCGGCGAGAACCACTTTCGTCCAGTCTCAGGTGTCGACTGTTGAGGTGGTGGCACTGTAACACATGGGGACCGACAGCGCCGTGAAACACTATGACTGTGATGTGACGAACAAAAAAGTATTGGCGTGAGGGGCAGGTTTAATTTGCATCCCATATTCGAGAGGGGAAGGTCGCATAAAAGCCCAATAAGGAATGAGACGAACCAAAGGGATGATGTTGTAATTGTGTTGGTTGGATGATCTAATCTGACAAGATGCCTTTAGGCTTTTGGGCCATAGTCAATACTATCGTCGACCATCATAGCGTACATATGAGATTTCGACTTGTACTACCTGAAGTGAGAAGGCTCCTCTGTTGATCTTTTGCCCTTTGTGAGATTCATCACGCATATTAGGGATAAACTTGTCTCACGGCTTAGCATTCCATGTCGATGGCCAGCTGGCTAAGAGTAATTCATCTAGAGACTCGTCTCTCCTCCCTTGTTCCAAACATCCATCTGTCCACCATCGTGTAAGGCACAGTTAGACTTTACTATCCCTGTATTATTCCCTCAAGATGGCAACACCATGGAATAAGCATATTGATGAGATACCCATCTGCCACCGCATTCACCTGCGCCATCTCTAATCAAGCTCTATAATACCTGTTACCTGGATCTATAATTTTCGTATTCTTCTTTCCTTTTTCTCAATCACAGCAACTGCTCTTGAACTGTCCTATGTAGGCACCTGGAACCCCTGCTACTTGGTCCTGGTGTTAACTGACTCAACAACGGGCCCTCTAAACCAAGAATTTAGCGTGCAAAAAGAGCCGTCACCAGCTGAAAAAAGACACAGCATTTGCTTCCCCGGGGGAATTCATTCGGCCAATCGCGTTGCAAAATTTGGTCTCGTAGGTCTGCTTGGGTCGACTGGCTTTTCCCGAGATTCAAGAAAGACAAATGGCAAACAGCCAAACGGAAAAGACGCCGCCTGCTGGGGACGTTGAAAGCCACGAGGCACATTAGCACCTAAGGGTTACATGTACTGTAACCGTCACCCATATTTGGTAGGCCTCGTTTGTATGGTCCCTGTACTGAAGCGAACCTGTGTATCCTTTTTGTCAGCCTCTTGGCCCCCTTTGGAAGGATCTTGAGGACATTGGACTTCTTCTTTTTTTTGACGTGCTTTCTTGTATCACTCAAGTCTTGGTCTTAGTTTGTCTTGGTCTTGGTTCTGGTTGGGGTCTCGTCTCATTTCTTCTTTTCCCCGCGCCACTTGCAACAGTCTTTGGGGGTGCACATCTGCCCAAAAAGACAAAATAATTTAATCGCTTTATTCCACATTAGACCCGCTCTGAGGCTATTTGTTTCCTGCATGCTGAGCTTCAGGTCTTAGTTTTCTGCCAAACCCCCTAGACAGTACAGTTCCAGTTCCAGTTCCAGTTCCTGTCACTCTCCAGTCGCTCTCCCTTGTCTCATTTCTAGTCCCTGAGGTGGGATCAATTGAGACCGGGCTGTCAACCGCGTCCAAGAGTTTTTTTCTCCTTACTATCAAGCGAGCATCAGCGCATCACCGACACCAACACAAACCACCAAAAAAGCTCAAGCTCAAGCTCAGGCTTCTCTCTTTTTTAGCTTGTCAACTTTCCAAGTTTGTGATCGATTACACCCTCCGATTCATCGGTTCTATAACTCATTTGGGAGTCCACTGTTTCCCTCTAGAGACGGATTCATCTTACAGCAGCGCCCGAGCTCCCCTGGTAGGCGACGATACCCCGGTACTTTTCTGGCCCAGGCTGCGAGAACATCCTGGTTATTGAAATTCGTTCTACCCGCCCTGCCAATCCGGCTTCCCCGTCCCAGTCCCAGTTCCCAGTCAAAAGAGTCAACGCTTGCGCGCAAGGTGCTTCTTTGCGTAGGTGCTGCGAACTTTTCTCGTTCTCTTCCAAGCACAGGCTGAGGCCATCATTTGTTCCTATCATCAACTCACATTCTCGGACGCCGGCTGGTTGTCTTGTCTGTCTGAGACGAGATTCGGCGTCAATTCTTTAACCGTCCGTGGGGTCTCGACTGTGCCCCATCATTTTACATACATACCTACTACTTCACCACACCGGAAACCCATTCTCGAGACCGACTATTCTCGCTTGTCTTCTTCTACACCGACCAACTACCGACCGACTTCTTGGTTAGATAACTTTGCTTTTGACTGAAGCGAAGCGCCTTCTTTCTTTTTGCTGGCAGTGCAGCTCGACTTCGACTTGAAACAATATACTCGACCCTCGATCACGATTCGCCGATCCTTTTAAGTTTTATCGATACTACATTCGCTCTGGCTCAACTTTGGCCAAATTCCAGTCGCAAATCCTATCCTCTGTTCTAGATCCGACAGCGATGGCCAAGAGCTGTTGCTACGTTTTGACAAATCCAACTTTTTCAACTCCACAACTTTGTGCTGCTGCCTTCGGTTCATCTTGCAGGAAGGAAGCAACATCAGATCAGACAAAGTGACAAATTGAACGTCACGCAACGAAACGACGACAACGACCTTTGATACCCTCTGATTCAGAAAAAATCTTCATTTTGCAAGCGAATATACTCCTGCCCGCTGGGCGACCAAAGTTTTTGCCAGCCTCTGGCGCCCAGCAGCAGTAACCGAAACAAATCGAGTCCTCCGACCACAAAAAGTACATCACACCATGTCACCACTCGCCATCTCCGTACCCGACGCTCCGGGTTCACCAAACGCAACCCGAACAAAATTTACCTTTTATGGTAATCGCCAACGGGACAGCGAGAACAGCCTTATGCCGGGAACTTCAACAGCTGATGCATCACCTTATGCTTCACCCATGACTTCACCAATGATGTCGCCCATGGCTTCGCCTCGAATGCAGCTCAAGCCTTTCGGCGCCATGTACCGACATGTTCGTCAACCGTCAGACGAGTCCTTGTCACATTTACCTCCTTTGCCGATTTCGCCAAGATGGGATTCCGTCACCAACCCTTCCAAGTTCATGCCCGGACAATCAATATCGCAACGAGCTGCATCTCCATTCGATTCGCCCCACTCGCCATCGCCTCTGAGCTACGATACAGCAGCAAGCACTCCTGTTGACTCCCGAAACACATCTCCGACATTTCTGACATCCAAATCGTCACTGGCTGACCTTCGCGCCTACGACACCCTGCCACCCGCCGTGGAGAACTTCTCGCGGCCGCGGAAGCAAAGTATCCGCCAACCAATCACCGACGTGACTAAGCCACGACCCGCCCAGAACGCCCCAGGGACCGCAACATCGAACCCCGGTTTCAATTCCGCCGACCAGTACCTAGAGCTTGTTACATCTTCTCAACATCCCCTTTGGCCTGCACCTCAACGACCTCGTGGCCCTTCGATATCTTCTTGTCAATCCTCTTCTACATATCAATCAGCACTTTCTCCTCCTGGGAACGACTTTTATGATCCAAGAGCGCCTCGCATTCGGACGGCTGCTGGTGCGACATCGTCAGCACGACCTCCTTTAAATTACAACGGCGGCTCAGCTTCGCCAAGCCCTGTTATCGCCCCGTGGATGAGTGGTGAAGAATCGCGCTCGAGCTTCCGCTCTCAATTCACAGACACAACTGGTCCCGGCACCGCTGTTACCGAGCGAAGCAGTGTCCTCACAAAGGACAGCTCTGTTGGTTCATTATACGCTGGCCCAGAAAGCGCGGAGCGCGATCCTAATACACACAACGAGCCCGACGCTGAGCACGACGAGCCGAGTCTTGAGGATGTTATGGGCATGTACGAGCAAGGCTTTGACACTGACGACGACGAGGTGAACTACTCGAACAACAACACTACCAACGCTCGACCAGTATCATCAGCATCCGATATGGGTCCGCGACGAAACGTCAGAGACGACGACGAGGATGATTTCCCCGAGGAGCAAGTCCCCGAGTCCTCAACGCTCGACATGGAAATTCGAATGTCCAAGATGATCTTCACATCTCCAGCCTTTACATCATCCGTTCCTCACATTGCCGAAAAGCACGTTGTTGAAAAATACAGCTGCGAAATCCCTGAAAAGCGAGACTCGGTCAAGTCTTTAGACTCAGAGCCTTCCGTCAAATCCCAAAAACCTCTTTCCCTTATTGAATCCGACACTGCGCGCTCAGGGTCATTTGCTGCACCTCTCTCACCACCGGGCTCCACCCTGGCACCCGTCTTTGAAGTAAAAGATCGACCCGAAACTCCCGAGTCAAGGAATAACTCTGAATACGCCTCAGAGCCAGCGCCCGAACCGAGAGCGGCCCCCGAGGCTGAGCTCAAACCCAAGCCAGTTTCTCCACCTCCCCCAGTCGCTATCCCTGAGCCAGTTGAGCCGGAAGATCCTGGCGCTCGTGATCGATACGGTTTCAAGAAGGAAAACCAGTATGTGACGCGACAGCAGTATGACACCTGGAATACTGGATACACTGAGTACCTCGCTCGTCGACGAAAGAAGTGGAACCAGTACCTGAAAGACAATGCCCTGATGACAGACCACCCGAACCGGTTTCCCGCTCCCAACGCAAAGACGAAACGATTTGTTCGCAAGGGTATCCCCCCAGAATGGCGCGGTGCCGCTTGGTTCTACTATGCTGGCGGACCAGCTATTCTGGCCAAGCACTCGGGTCTTTACGATAAGCTCACAGCTAAGCGAGCTAAGGACATTGATGCTGAGGCTATCGAGCGAGATCTACATCGCACATTCCCCGATAACATTAAATTTAAGCCTCCCGGCGGGATGGACACGACATCGTCAAGTAGCGCTAGAGAGTCGACAATGACGGATTCCACTCGCAGCTCCAGCCCGGCTCCTCAAAGCGTCGAGGGCGAGACACCTATCATTACCTCTCTTCGCCGTGTACTTCACGCATTCGCTGTATACAACCCTCGCATTGGCTACTGCCAAAGTTTGAACTTCTTGGCTGGTCTTCTGCTGCTTTTTGTTGACACTGAGGAACAATGCTTTTGGCTCCTCAACGTCATTACGCGCATTTATCTTCCCGGTACCCATGAGATGAGTCTTGAGGGTTCCAAGATTGACTTGGGAGTGCTCATGACTGAGATGCGCACTTCCATGCCTGCTGTCTGGGACAAAGTTGGCGGAGAGCTTGAGGCTGATCCCAACTCTCGACCTTCAACGAGCAAGTCGATTCGTCTTACTCGCTCCCGTCGCAAGGAACTGGCACGCATGTCAACGCCCACCGACAGACTCCCACCAATCACACTTTGCATGACAGCCTGGTTTATGAGCTGCTTCATCGGAACACTACCCATCGAAACCACCCTCCGCGTATGGGATGTGTTCTTCTACGAAGGCTCCAAGACTCTTTTCCGCATCGCATTGGCCATCTTCAAGCTAGGCGAGAACGAGATCCGATCCGTGGGCGATCCCATGGAGATGTTTGGCGTGGTGCAATCGATGCCACGCCGCCTGATTGATGCCAACGCTCTTATGGAGGCTTGCTTCAAGCGGCGGAATGGCTTCGGGCATCTGAGCCAGGTCCAGATTGACGAGAAACGTCAGCAACGTCGAGCTAAGGCACAATTGGATAGAGTCCGTCAAGGCAAGACATGGAACAACTAGGAAATTAGATTTTCAAGCCACGTTTAACAACATACCTCACAACCTCTCATCTCTTACACCCACAACACAACACTCCTTCAACATCTCATTTACTGTTCAGCTACTTTCTTATTTCGGCACACACTGGCCCACACCAACACGGTAGTGGAAGCCGCCGACTTTTTATCATGGAACGGCGTTTCAATGGAAGGCATGGTCTATTTATCGATTTAGCCCGCATTGTGTCTGTATTTTTCTCCTTTATTCTGTTTCAAACACAAAAACTCTCTTTTCTCATTCTCATTTTCATTATTCTTCAACTGCCCCTAACGATGGGGAGTTGTTTGTTCACTATGTACGTCTTCAAGGAGCGAGGAGGGATCAGCGTTGGTACGGCTGGAATGTACAGGATGGAATGGTACCAAAAAAGGAACATTGTTTTACTTAATGACGATGGTTTACGGCTGCATTGCGATAAGACAAAACGCACCACCATACCCCAAAAGCACTTTTGCGAGAGGCGAATGGCTTTCTGCTCAAGGCACACGGCAAGGTTGCAAGGACTGGCAAAAGGTCCTGGTGGTGCTTGGTTTTCATATAGAAGGGCGAGGGAAAATTACGCACGAACTGGTTAGAACCTGCCGAGGAGTAGATTTGGGGGATACTTTTGATACCCTAATGGAATGAAAGATAATTACACGACCGTCAAACGTACGCAGCCTGCATGTGATAAGATGTTTCATGTTTGACACCCTAATACCTATGTACTTTTGTATCAGGGTAAGAGCTTGACAGCTCAAGACTAAGATGAGCCGACACGAGACGAATGTGTTCTCGTGGCTAGTCCCATCTCATAAGTTTTCCGGTTAAGTCGCCCGTGCTCTCCATTCCTCGCCCACCATTCTGTCTAGCCCTGAGGCTCACCACAAGTCCCTTCGTCAGCCGTGATGGTCTCGCCACTGAAACTACTCCCATCGTTGGACCCATCGCTCTATGTATCTTCCGTTCTTGATGAATAGTTCGAGTCCAAATAGATTGAGTCCGGAGAGCTGACTTCGCCTTCCTCCGTGACACTGCTCCTCTAAGCAGCAGGAGAGAAAATAGGTGGTTCCATGGCGTATTTTTGGACATGCTGCTTCACCGCTTGATCAAACGCAGCCCGGTCGGTCTGGTATTGCTGCGCAATGCGATCTTCGAGAGGGCTGTCGAGCTGGGGCTCTTCCAGGAGGTTGCGAAGCGCCTCCAGAACGGCATAGAGCTTGGTGCTGGGCTTCCAAGCATCTGGTTTAAGGAGACCCAAGCAGATGTTGCCGAGATTATCGTTTGTCACATTAGGGTGGTAGATGGGGGTGACAAATTTGACGACCGGGGGCTTGAAGGGGTAGTCGGTGGGAAGGTTGAGGAGGATGCCGAATTTGCCTGGGTGGTAGACGGTCGAGGGGGGCGCCGTTAAGGTGACGTGCCATGTGTGGATAGTATCGTTGGGAGGCAGAGCCACCGAGAAGCCCTCAGGGGGATCTTGGGAAATTTCGGCAAATTCCTGAGAGGGAAAAAAGGGTTAGATAACGGGAGGAGAAGTAATATAGACAAGAATGAAAGGCGTACCTTGGTGATGCGCTTGGCCATTGTGAAGGTGTAGTAGAATTAAGTAACAAACGGAAGATGGATGATGCTTGCAGTTCTTCCTTCGGGAATATCTTGTTATTTAATGATGTGCTGTTGAACCACGATGCTGATGATGATCAACGGACAAGTGCAATAGACTGATGATAAGAAGAGGCTTGTTTGATGTCAGATGGATGTTGAAAGTTGGGATTGGAGAGTGGAAGGGCATCAGGGTACCAGAAAAGTTGGCCGCTGGGAGCAGAGACTAAATTACAAGGCCACTTTACGCTACTTGCACCATACTTCTTAGGCTGTTTATTTTTGTCGTCTACAGCTTGAAGTCGATTCTTCTGCTACCCACTAGAAGGGGTATGACGATAGTGGGGTATTGGAGCATAAAGAAGCTGGCAGCAGCAACAGCAGCGGTAACAGCAGCCTGTGAAAGTACCACTTGAAGTAGCAAAAGACAAATGCTTAGGAAGGTGCTGATATCATGCAATCAAGTTGAGTACCTACTCAATCTATCTGGTTAGATTCTGCCCAAACAGGCAGTAGCTTCTTTGTCGTATAAACTTGGGGTGTGTATCACAACAGCTTGTGTGGGGCACAAGGAAACAGCAAGCAATTTATTTGCGGTAGGCCAAGATTCCCTACTCCCTAGAAAAAGAAAAACATACAGAAGCAATTGATGGAGTTTCAGGAGGGAACTCTTGTTCAATATCAAACGTGCTAATATCAAACGTGCTAGCTTGAGTGTGTGAACTATTTCATCATACATGTTCGTCTATAGGCACCAGAAACAAGACAAGAAGTACAGGGCAGAGCGAGCTAAAAGGACTTCGACACCCTAACAAACTCAGGTTGTACAGATTATCTTCTGTCAAAAGAGCAACTGCATGTTGGATTTCACAGCAGCATTCCACTTACACCAACAAGAGAGAAAAGGCCCAGTGAATGGATAGCTGCAGTCGGTCGCATGCAATATTAAAAAAATTGGCTGATAGCCATTTGTTGATTGTATACTATGCATTCGTTTATGTCTACTATGTTTTATCAGATTGTTTGCTTGCACCGATGGATCACATCCCTTCAGCATATTGAATAACTCATCATTAGAACAGAAACCCTCAAAAGTCAGCTTTTGACTCTCCAAGAGAGAGACTTTCATTGAATTAAATTGCTCCGCTACACCACACATCCACCGTTGTATATCTAACCATACCTACGACAAATACACCATTGAAACAAATCATGACACTCGATACTAACCGTCGGTACCGCTGCTTCTGAATGTCGCGCATAGCGCAGCATAGTGATGTGTCAGGTCTAGAACGTTCTGAGGCAAGCTTGTCGCCTGGATGATGCTTCGGACCTTGACTGCTCCCTCATCCTCGATCAGAGTACGTATCGTGTGCAGGAGTTCGGGGCTGAACTCGCTGTACCATCGGTACTGCCATGTCACTAATCGGATGACGGAAGCTACTGTCTCTCGTGTGCTCTTAGTCTTCTCGAAGACACGTAGGATTCCTGCCAGGGCCTTGGGACTGAAGCGGATTGAAAGGCATGCACGGTACGCCTCTACGGCTTCGTCCATGTGCTGGAGGCGCTCGGCGAGAGAGCCTAGAATCTCCCACTCCTCCGCTGACTTCTTGTACTGCATCTGCTGGGCGCGGTACTGAGCCATCTGAGTGCGCCAGATTGTGTAAACACGAAGATCCTCATAGAGAACCATGAAGAGACTATCCAACCAGCGTTCACAAAGGCGCTTGGTGTTGAGCTTTGACAGATTCTCGTCACTCTTGGTGGTCTGCAATTGTTAGCTGGTTCGAGAGATGATATCAACAGAACTTACCTCAGGATCTGTCTTTGCCTCTCCTGGATCGATAACATTCGATGGCTTCTCAATTTTGCTCTGCTCACCGTTGCCGTTGGTAGCAGGAGCATCAGCGTCAGCAGCAGCGTCGACCACTACTTCGGGAACCTCCTCAGCAGGCTTTTCCGAGCTTTCGCCCTCTGCCTCATTGTCCCGGTTGACAGTTTGATCGGGTGTACCTCGCAGACCATCGGTGCTCGGGGTCCGTTTCGAGGCACCTGGGTGAGAAGATTCTTGCTTCTCTGTGCGATACTCATCCTCCATCACGAATACATTACTGCGGATCTTTAGGAGTTGATCCCAGCCAATCTTTGCAGTCATCTCGGTCAGGATCTCATACGCCTTCTTGAAGGTACCTCTGTAGGATGCGGCTCGTAGGTTGAGCAAACTGGGGTCAACCTGTTCCGAGTATCGTGACTCAGGCTCGCTGTCGATCTCGTCAAGGCGAGTTTCAGGAAGAGTTGGCAGGATGACTTCCTTTGGCTCTGGCATCAAGGGAGTATCCTTGTCTTGGTAGGTGAACATAGGGCATGAATTGAGAATGGTAAGCGCATTGTCCCAATCCTCCATAGCCACATAGACCTGAGCTAGTCGGGCCCATGTGCTGAACTCAGTCGGGGCGGCAACTGTCGCTCGATCCGCACAACCCAGGGACAATTTGAGCCTCTCGTCCTTGAGTTCAGGAGTAGCTGCGCCCTTGGCCTTGTGCAAGAGAAATTCAGCTTGAGTATCGAGCATAACATAGTCCATAGGGGTTTCCTGCAAAGACTGGTGTAACGTTCTGATGCCAGCAACCTCCTCATGGCCCATGAACATAACCTTTGCCAACAGAGATGAAACCTCGACACTCTGCGTTCGGAGCTTCTCAAAGAGATTGATTCCAGAGGCATATCGACCGGTGGTTTCGAGATACTTTAGAAGGCCAGTGGTCAGGTGGTTAGATACGTTGGTAGGCACCTGAACTACCGAGTCGGAACCCAGTTGCCATCCCCTGAAAAAGAGTTGTTCTGCAGCATGAAGGAAACGATGCTCGGTTTCAGTGTTTGTGACAGGATTGAATCTTCGAACGCCCATAATCTTTCGAATCGTGTCGCCGCTGCCATCGTCTGCGTATGAGTATGCTCGAAGAACACTGCAGAGGTATGTCTCCAACCAGAGATCCTCCGAAGCCTTTCGCTTCTCGCCACGCTCGTCGACGCAGTAGCTTTCTACGGTTCCGGGAATCGATACATGCACACGCATATCAAGTCGTGAAAAGGCATTGTAACAGCTGTCAAAGGTTAGCCTCTGCAACTCTTTACAAGCGCGGAAGGGTTATGACGTACCAGAAGACGCCTTCAACAATCTTGTTTGTCGCATTTGGTCCTGACTCTTTGTAGGTCAAAGTATTGATATACGCTGCTAGACTAGCTGATGAAGATGCGTCGACACCGGTGACATGGTGGTAGACGCCAGTCTGGACAAGTCAGCTATTGATCTCCCTTGCGCCGATCGAGGTCGTGTACCTGCTTGGCTGGGTTTCGGACGCCGTGCTTTAGAAGATGAACGAGATCGGGAGGGCCAAGTTCTCGAAGGCCAGCGAGAGATTCGGTTCGGGCGTCAATCGACTCGTGGAGAATCTCCTCGGTAATTCTGGTCCCAGATTAGCTATGTGGATGCTACCTAAGCATCTCGGTAGTGTTGCGCCTTACTCGGGAACCGCTGGCGCGACCATAATGGCGAGCTCCTTGCACTCGCTATTGAGGATCGGGGGAGAATATCAGATGAGAGCCGTCAGAATTGGCCTCGTGTGATGTGTAGGGAGAGAAACAGTCGAGACCGGTTGAGGGGTCCCTTGTTTCGAGTGAGATGCCAAAGACAAAGGATGCTGGTCCCTCCCTAAGATCTGGCCTTGATAGGGAGCTCTAGGTACAGTTCAGGATGTACGTACTCTAAACTGCCCTGGGCCTGGGCAGCTCTACTAAAACACCGCCACATCTCTGCTCAGGAACAGCTCCAACATGTGGCTAAATGGGGCTGAACTGATCCGCGTCTGAGAACGCGCTTTCATTAATTAAATAGATGCCAAGAAAGTGAAGTGTCTCCAAACTCACTCCTAACGTCAAATCAATCAGACAGAGGTAGACTGTTTCCTTTACTACAAATACGAATGTAGGCCGTCGCTTAGAGAGCATTGCGACCGCCAATATGGTAAATTGTCGACATCCTATAATAAATCCAAACTAATGTGTGACAGCCGGCATTCCAAGCAATAAACCTCGAGCCCGAGGATAATATCGACGAGCAAATCGACACCACCAAGGAGATTCACGTGAGTGTGTTGTAAGATATCTCAAAAAGGGACGAGTAATAACATTTTGCAGGTCGACGAAGCTCTCAAGCGATTTCAGCATGCATTGAAGCTCCATGCCCAAGGCCCTCGATCACGAGAAGCCGCCGAAGCCGCATACAACGAACTCTTCGAATCCGAAATCTTCAAGTACCGGGAAGCGAAAACCGACTACGAGCGAGCAGAGCGACAAGCAGACGGTCAACCAGATGTATCCAACTTGGACCCCTCCCTCACAGACGGAGGACTAGATGTGGACGCTGGAGGAGCAGATGGTGTAGCAGCAAGCCTGGCCCAGGCACTCTACTTATCTTACAAAAACTATGGCCAATTCTTTGTCGACAAATTTAAGGACGCATCGACTTCAGACACAGCATGGAAGGAAAAGGCTCGACTGAAATACCACGACGATGGACGCAAGGTGTTGGATAGCTGGATGACTGCACTGGATCAAGATCCATCAGATCCGGAGCTCTGGAGAAAGACTGCTCGTTTCGCTGGCGCAATCAACAGCAACCGCATTAAGCGGTACTGCCTCGAGGCTGCGATTGAGTTGGACGACGATCCTGCTGTGATGGAACTCGACCCTCCATCATTAGCAGAGGGAATGGCGGGTGAACAGCTGAAAGATCAATTGAAGCTCCTCAGCGACGACATGGCTTTGTCGCATCCGATCATGGCGCCATGGCTCAAGAAAAAGATGCCTGCGCTCCTCAAGCGCCACTTGGATCCCATTCCCTTTCTTCCCGACCGAACCAAATCATTAATACCACCAAAGGCTTCTGCTACAGAGGACCAGACCCAAGAAGATATAGAAAT